TGTGTTGATAGAGTGGCCTTGTGTAGTAGGTGTCCTATAGGGCCCAGTGGCTCAGCTTCCCCAGTCACCTGAGGTAGACATTCTAGGTCAGTGGTGGCGAACCTTTTGAGCTCGGCGTGTCAGCATTTTGATTTTGAAAAACCCTAACTTAACTCTGTGTCACGTACAGAAATTTTTTGATATTTGCAGCCATAGTCAAACAAAGACTTATATTTTTGATATTTTTTTATATGTTTAAATGCCATTGAACGAAGAAAAATCAACCAAGAAAATGAGTTCAGAGGTGACACGCGTGTCACAGGTTCGCCATCGCCCGTGTCGCGTGTTTCTGGGGGGGTAGAAGCATGACTTTGCTCTGCCCCCCGATGCGCCAATCCCACCACAAACGGACTCCCATTAAGAGCTGTTACAGTTCCAAACCTTTAATCACAAATCAGACCACAGTGAGGTCAGACCCAGACATTCTCCGCCCCCACCCCCCGCTCCCCGGCAACTCCCCCCTACCCTACCCCAGGTCTCCAAATGTTGGATTAGTCAGAAGAAGGCTCTCCCACAAGTGGATGCCTCCAGATCGCAGACGTGAACAGGTCCCGCTCCCTCCCCACACCCCCTGACCTCATCTCCCACCCCTCCCGTCCCCAGTTACCCCATCAGGTCCCCACCGACCGCCCCTGGGGACCCTCGTTTGCAGAAAGCCTCTCCCCACCCCACCCCCAAGCGGCCCAGAATTCAGCCACCGAGGAACACATATGTACAGAGGAAAAGGTGAGGGCACGAAAGACGGGTCTGTGCAAACAGCCTGGGCCCCCGGAGCAAGGAGGACAGTGTCTCCAGGACGTGGGGCGAAAGATGCTGAGGGGCCCTGGCCAGTGTGGCTCAGCGGATAGCGCATCAGCCCGAGGACCGCAGGGTCCGGGGTTCGATTCAGGTCGAGGGCATGTCCCTCGGTTGCAGGCTCCTCCCCGGCCCGGGGCCCTGGCCGGGGTGCATGCAGGAGGCAACCCATCGACGTGTCTCCCTCTCACATCGATGTTTCTCTCTGCCTCTCCCTCTCCCTTCCACTCTCTCTAGGGGTCCGTGGAGAAGTGTCCCTCGGGTGAGGATTAACAACAACAACAACAATAAGATTCTGAGGGGACAGAGGACCAAGGAGGGGATGCCAGGAGCTTCGGGAAAGCGCAGGGGTACCTCTAGGGGGCCCTGGGCCCCTGCTTGGGACAGAGTGAGCCCCAGGGCCAGGGCGGCAGGGTGAGCAGGAGGAAGAAGCTGCCCCCCAGCAGCAGGACCAGGCTGGCCGCCACGGCGCAGCCCAGAGACCAGGAGTACTCGTAGGTCAGGGCCGGGGCCGGGGGCGGCTCGGGGCTGACCCTCTGAATCAGGGCTCGCACGGAATGCCGGAACACCTCCAGGCTGACCAGGAGCAGCAGGCCTGCAGGGAGAGGAGAGAGGAGGTGCTCAGGCGCCGGGGAACCCCCAACTTCGGTTTCAATAGCTCCTCGATGCACCCCATCCCAGGCTCCTCAAACAAGAAACCTGAGAGACACACACAACCCCACCCCCCAAGCACCCTCTCATTCATTCATTCAATAACCACTTACTAAGCACCTATGACATAGCAGATGCAATTTCGGAAGCTGGAGAGCAAGAAGGAAGAATAAGTGTGAGAGGCACACAGTGGAGCAAGCGGTGGGTGCCTGGGGCCGGGGAGGGGAGTGGGAGTCGGTTTTTAAGGGGACAGGGTTTCAGCTGGGGAAGACTGAAAGGTTCTGGAATGGCCCTGGCTGGGTGGCTCAATGGGCTACAGCGTCATCCTGATACACCGTTTCGGGTTCCATCCCCAGTCAGGGCACATACAAGAATCAACCAATGGCCTTGGCTGGTTTGCTCAGTGGCTAGTGTCAGCCTGCAGATTGAAGGGTCCTGGGTTCGATTCCGGTCAAGGGCACATGCCCAGGTTGTAGGCTCAACCCCCAGTAGGAGGTGTGCAGGAGGCAGCAGATCCATGATTCTCTCTCCCTCTCCTTTCCTGTCTCTGAAATCAATAAAAACATATTTTTAAAAAGAAGGGAATAGAGGGATAAAGCTGTAAATAGTTTTAAGATGCTATAAGAGCCTTCTGCAGCAGTGCAAATTTATATTCTCACCAGCAATGAATGAGATGCCCAATTCCTTACAGTCTCAGTAGTAGAATATATTATCAAACTCAGATATTTGGATTACTATAACAGGGGAAGAAAGAACAAAAGTGTAGTTTGATTTGTAATTCTTATTAGGGTTGAGACTGACACCTTGTCATACGTTGATAAGGCTTTTTTTGTAAGCTGCTCCTACATATATTTTTGTTTTTCTATTGACTTATGAGAGTTTTTTATATATGTTCTCTGCCTGTTATGTAAGTTGAAAATATATTTTCCCTGTTGGCCATTTGTCTTTTTACTTTACTTGTGTTCTTTGTTAACCATGTTCGATTCCGGTCAAAGGCATGTACCTTGGTTGCGGGCACATCCTCAGTAGGGAGCGTGCAGGAGGCAGCTGATCGATGTTTCTCTCTCATCGATGTTTCTGGCTCTCTATCCCTCTCCCTTCCTCTCTGTGAAAAATCAATGAAATATATATTTTTTTAAAAAGAAGTTGGGGGGGGGGAACAAGACAGACAAAGACCCTGACCTCATGGGGCTTAGATTCTACGGGAGGAGGCGGGTAGTAAACAATGCTTGCAGGAGAGAATGAGGAAGTCAGTACAGAATGCCGTAGGCAGGTGTGATGGGCACAGTGACAGGGTGACCGAAACCCAGCTCCCGCCAACAGCAAGCCCTCCATCTACCAGCTGCCCCCTGCACGCTCCTGACGGGGGATCCGGCCTGCAACCCAGGCCTGTGCCCTGACCAGGGATCGAACCACCAACCTCCCAGGGCACGGGCCAACAGCCAACCAACCGAGCCATGCCAGCCAGGGCGAGAGACAGAATGTTTAACTGATGAGGGCTTTGATGGGAGTTCATCCGACCTTTAAATACCGGCCCAGAGAAATCTCTACCCACCGCCCGCCGGGCAGAGCACGTCATGGGCCTTCTGTGGCCTGCCGGCTGCCGGGTTACAACCTCCAAAGTAAACACAGGAGAAGGAAGACAAGATAATTTCAGAGAGTGAGGCATGCTGGGAAGGAGTTAAAAACAGGGTGATGGGAAGGGGAGTGACACCCCGGGTGGAGCGGGGACTTTAAATAGTGTCGTCGGGAAAAGACATTGCAGCTGAGACGCGAATGAAGGATGACCGGAAGCCAATGAAGCGATGGCTGTTCCCAGCAGGAGGGGAGGCTGGGGCGAAGGCCCTGGTGGGATGGAGTAGAGTGAGGAGTTTGAGGAAAAGAGAGGTCAGTGTGACCAGAACAAAGAGAGTGGGGAGGAGGAGAGTGCTGGGCAATGGGCGTGCAGAGGCGGGCAGGGGTCAGATCACTTAGGACCATCTTTTTTAAAAAAATATATTTGTATTGATTTCAGAGAGGAAAGGAGAGGGAGAGAGAGAGAGAGAGAAACATCAATGATGAGAGAGAATCACTGATTGGCTGCCTCCTGCATGCCCCCTACTGGGGATCGAGCCCACAACTTGGGCATGTGCCCTTGACTGGAATCGAACCCGGGATCCTTCCGTCTGCAGGCTGATGCTCTATCCACTGAGTCAACCTGGCGAGGGCCACTTAGGACCATCAGATGGTCATCCATGGTCATGGATCCCAGCTGCCTCCCCTCTCAGATCCTGGAGCCTGGCCCCAACCTCAGTCCCTGACCCTCTTTCCTCTTTGTCCTCTGCTTCTCCCAGTTTCCCCCATGTTTGTTTGTTTTTTTAAAATATATTTTTATTGATTTCAGAGAGGAAGGGAGAGAGAGAGAGATAGAAACATCAATGATGAGAGAGAATCATTGACCGGCTGCCTCCTGCACGCCCCCCACTGGGGATGGAGCCCACAACCTGGGCATGTGCCCCTGACCAGAATCGAACTGTGTCCTACTCTCTCCTTGTGTCCGCAGGCCGATGCTCTATCCACTGAGCCACACCAGCCAGGGCTCCCCCATGGTTTTTAATCAGGGGCCTGAGGCATGCAGCCTGGAGTCTGTGCATCATGGTTCAATGACCCCCTGAGCCCTTCCCGGCCCCACGCAGCTCAGCATGAGGGCATTGAAGGTGGGAAAGCATCTGGACGAAGAGGAGACACAGTCCAGTCCCCTTCACGCCTCTGCAAGTTCCTGCATCTTTCATTCACTCGACAGATCTCCACTGAGCTCTTGTTATGAAATATATATACTGGGGACTAACAGGGGCTTCCACCCGGGAGGAGAGATGGACGATCACCTGGTGAATGTATTGTGGTGGGCTGAGCCGCCTCCTATATTGGGTGGGGAGGGGGGCCTTTAAAGAAATGAGTTAAAATGAGGTCATTCGAGTGGGCTCCAATCCAGTGTGGCTGCTGCCTTCACAAGGAGAGAGTAGGACACAGACAGGCACAGAGGGGCGACCACGTGAGGACACGGGGAGACAAGGGCCATCTGCAGGATGAGGCGACAGAGGCCTCAGGAGGGCCCAGCCCTGCTGACCCCGGGAACCTGGGCTTCCAGCCCCCAGGACGGAGAGAAAATGCATTCCTGTGGTCAAGCCACCAGTCCGTGGTGCGCTGCTGTGGCAGCCCTCACAAGCAAGTGCCAAACTCGTGGCCTTTCTATCCACATAGCAAACGCTTGCCCAGTGAGGACCACATTTCACAAGGTGCAGCATTTTTTCGGACCTTCAACTCCCAGAAAGCGACAGTCCTTGCAGACCCCAAGGTCCGAATCTCTTTTTTTTAATTATTAAATTTATTGGGGTGACATCGGTTAATAGGATCATATAGGCTTCAGGTGTGGGTTTCTATGTTACCAGACCTGTATATTGCTCTGTGTGCCACCACCCAAAGTTAAATCATCTTCCCTCGCCACGTATTAGGCCCCCTTCACAGCCCCACGCACAAGAGAGCTTGGAGACCCTCCCATTCCCAGCCAACAAGGGGCTTAGAGCTCTCATATCTGAGCCTACCACTAGCCCTTGTGCCTCCCGGCATGCAACAGTGTTTGGAGACCTCTCAGCCTCCCAGCATGCAACAGTGTTTGGAGACCTCTCAGCCTCCCAGCATGCAACAGTGCTTGGAGACCTCTCAACTTCTCAAAATAGAACAGTGCTTGGGGACCCTGCCTCCCAGCATGCAACAGTGCTTGGAGATCTTACCTCCCATTGTGCAACCCAGCATGCAACTGTCTTTAGAGATCCCACCTCCCATTGTGCAACAGTGCTTGGAGATCCTAACCTGCCAGCATGCACAGTTCTTGTAGACCATAGCTCCCAGCATGCAAATGGGCTTAGAGATCCCACCTCCCAGCATGCAATGGGGTTAGAGAGTCCCACCTCCCAGCAGGCAACAGTGCTTGGAGATCTTACCTCCCATTGTGCAACCCAGCATGCAACTGGGCTTAGAGATCCCACCTCCCCGCATGCAATGGGGTTAGAGAGTCCCACCTCCCAGCAGGCAACAGTGCTTGGAGATCTTACCTCCCATTGTGCAACCCAGCATGCAACTGGGCTTAGAGATCCCACCTCCCCGCATGCAATGGGGTTAGAGAGTCCCACCTCCCAGCAGGCAACAGTGCTTGGAGATCTTACCTCCCATTGTGCAACCCAGCATGCAACTGGGCTTAGAGATCCCACCTCCCCGCATGCAATGGGGTTAGAGAGTCCCACCTCCCAGCAGGCAACAGTGCTTGGAGATCCTAACCTGCCAGCATGCACAGTTCTTGTAGACCATACCTCCCAGCATGCAACGGGGTTTAGAGATTCCCACCTCCCAGCATGTAATGGTGTTTAGAGATCCCACCTCCCAGCATGCAATGGGGTTTAGAGATTCCCACCTCCCAGCATGCAATGGGTTTAGAGATCCTACCTCCCAGCATGCAATGGGTTTAGAGATCCCACCTCCCAGCAGGCAACAGAGCTTGGGGGTCGCACCCCACAGCCTGCCACGGCCTCAGTCTCCAGGCGCGCGGCCCTCACCGGAGAGGCCGAAGCAGATGGCTCCCACGCGGACCAGGAACTCTGCGCCTTTGCTGAGCACCATGATGATGCAGAGGCAGCCCAGGGCCATGACCGTCAAGCCGAGAACCGCTATCACCGCGGCCGCCAGGTTCATCTCTGTGCAGGGGGGCGGGGAGTGGGGTTTAGAGATACCACCTCCCAGTAGGCAACAGTGGTTGGGGAATCCCACCTCCCAGCAGGCAACAGTGCTTGGAGATCCTACCTGCCAGCATACACAGTTCTTGTAGACCATACCTCCCAGCATGCAACGGGGTTTAGAGATTCCCACCTCCCAGTATGCAACGGGGTTTAGAGATCCCACCTCCCAGCATGCAATGGGGTTAGAGAGTCCCACCTCCCAGCATGCAATGGGGTTTAGAGATACCACCTCCCAGTAGGCAACAGTGGTTGGGGAATCCCACCTCCCAGCAGGCAACAGTGCTTGGAGATCCTACCTGCCAGCATACACAGTTCTTGTAGACCATACCTCCCAGCATGCAACGGGGTTTAGAGATCCAATCTCCCAGCATGCAATGCGGTTTAGAGATTCCCACCTCCCAGCAGGCAACAGTGCTTGGAGGTCCTACCTGCCAGCATCCACAGTTCTTGTACACCATCCCTCCCAGCATGCAATGCGGTTTAGAGATTCCCCCCTCCCAGCAGGCAACAGTGCTGGGAGATCCTACCTGCCAGCATCCACAGTTCTTGTACACCATCCCTCCCAGCATGCAATGCGGTTTAGAGATTCCCCCCTCCCAGCATGCAATGCGGTTTAGAGATTCCCCCCTCCCAGCATGCAATGGGGTTTAGAGATTCCCACCTCCCAGCATGCAATGGGTTTAGAGATCCTACCTCCCAGCATGCAATGGGTTTAGAGATCCCACCTCCCAGCAGGCAACAGAGCTTGGGGGTCGCACCCCACAGCCTGCCACGGCCTCAGTCTCCAGGCGCGCGGCCCTCACCGGAGAGGCCGAAGCAGATGGCTCCCACGCGGACCAGGATCGCACCCCACAGCCTGCCACGTCCTCGGTCTCCAGGCTCGCGCGCGGCCCTCACCTGAGAGGCCGAAGCAGATGGCTCCCACGCGGACCAGGAACTCTGCGCCTTTGCTGAGCACCATGATGATGCAGAGGCAGCCCAGGGCCATGACCGTCAAGCCGAGAACCGCTATCACCGCGGCCGCCAGGTTCATCTCTGTGCAGGGGGGAGGGGAAGAAGGGGAGAGCATGGGGTGCAGGGAGTGGGCGAGCTCCCCCACCGGGAGCCAGAGCCAGGGAGATGGGAGATGCGGGGCTAGAGGAGCATGTCCCAGTAGAAGCCCATCCAATGGGTGACGTGGACTGTTGAGGGATCTGAGACCCAGACCGGACGGCAAGTCACACAGCAGAGAGGGGACAGAGCCCGGACTTGAAGGGATGGAATGACCAGTGATTACTTGGGGTCTGGTCGCTGCCTGTTTACAGGGGAGGAGACTGAGGCAGTGGGCGCGGGGGTGACCATGGAGGGGGTATGTTACAGTGGCCACTTCCTGGATGGAAGGTGCTGGTGAAGTCACGGAACCTCTCAGCCTCTGTGTTCTCCTCTAGAAAATCAGGATCCAATTCCTTATTGGGCCCGGCCTGCGTAGCTCAATGGTTGAGCGTCCATCTATGAACCAGGAGGTCCCGGTTCAATTCGCAGTCAGGACACATGCCCGAGCTGGGGGCTCCATCCCCAGTGGGGGGTGTGCAGGAGGCAGCCAATCAGTGATTCTCTCTCATCATCTCTCTCTCTCTCTCCCCCTTCCTCTCTGAAATATAATAAAAACATATT